AAGGTACATAAAATCAAATAGCCCTGTTTCCTCATCTATAAAAGGAGTATGAGGACTGGGGATGTGGCTCAAGCAGTAGCACTGGGTTCGATCTTCAGCACCACATACAAATAAAGATGTTGTGGCCGCTGAAAACTAAAAAATAAATATTAAAAAATTCTCTCTCTCTCTCTTTAGAAAAAAAAGGGAGTATGACCTTTTCTCTTTAATGAAGTATTTGGTGAGGTGAAAGTAAATAATACTTGTTGTTTTCATCAGCTTTTTTATCACTGTGAACAAAAGACCTGACAACAACAATATAGAGGATTAAAACTTTATTTGGGGCTTGCAGTTGTCTACGTCTCAGTCTATAAATGGCCGACTCCATAGTTCTCAATAGGAAATGAGCCAAAACATCATGGCAGAAGGGCAGGGTGGAGGAAAGCTGCTCAGCACGTGGCAACAAGGAAGCAGAGAGAAGGAGAGAGAGACAGATAGATAGACATGGCACTCTGCATCCCAGTGACAAAATATGAACCCCAAAGGTACACCCCCAGTGACCCATCTCCTCCAGCCACACCCTACCTACCTATTGTTACAACCCAGTCAATCCACATCAATGGATTAACACACTGATTAGATTAAGGCTCTCATAATCCAATCATGTTGCCTCTAAAAATTCTTGCATTGTCTCACACATGAGCTTTTGGGGGACACCTCATATCTAAATCATAACACTTATGGATGGGTATCTTAACCCAAGCATGGCACATATTATGGTGTCTGTGGAGGTGTTGGTTACTACATAAATTTCTGAGTCATTTTCAATAAAGAAATTCAAGCATCTTAGCCTTTACTTAAAGTCATCTTACAAGATTTTCTTCTAGGAGAAAAGTAAAAGAAGTACATGTAAAATAATTTTGCAACTCAAATTGACCTTCATGAGAATTAGTCTTAGTTAATAAGGTTTTGTTTTGCTTTATTACTAATCCAGAATGTTTATGCAGTGTCTGACAAGCCATAGAATTCCACATGCATTTTAAAATGTTAAGGCTTACTTAATAGACAGTATCAGCATTTGGACTGCATTGTGGTCATTATATTAGAGGCCCACTATAGTGCTGGTAATGTTATACCATCTTTGACTTCCTGACCCTCTCTTCCTTGAGACCCCTCAGTTGAGGCTCCTGGTTGCCTTGGTGTGGGGCAAGTGGTTTTAAATAACATAAAATGCTGCTTCTCCCTCCAGCAGGACTGAACATCCCAAGGCTCTTTGGCTGAGTACTGGTAACCAAGTGGTTTTGAAATTGTTTTCCCATCAGTCAGTCCTGAAATCCAGGTATTCTCTTCCTATCCTCCCATCCTTTCCCCAACCTGGGGCCCTGAGTGATTCTCAGAATTCCTGTTCCCGTGACTATGTTGCAGCTTTGAGGCTCAGGATTCTGTTAGCTGAGGTCCTAGCTCAGGGATTGAGTACAGCTAGCTCCGGGATCCAACCACCCAATGAGCAGCTTCATCCATGCCAAACTGTAGTTAATGTAAACGAATACTGACTCATTCTATTCCCTAGAGTCTCTACTTTATTCAGATGTCCTTAGTTTTTAGTTAATGCATTTTTAAAAAATTTTTGACCCCAGGATCCCATCCCTGATACCATGTTACTTAGTCTTCATGTCTTCTCTAGCCTGCAGAAGTTTCTTGGACTTTCTTTGTTTTTAATGACCATGATAGTTTTGAGGAGTCCAAGTGAAGTATTTTGCAGAATTTCTCTTAATTGGGATCTATCTAATGTTTTTCTCATGATTAGATTGAATTGATGTTTTTTTTTTTTTTTTTTGGAAGAAGATCACAGGCATCAACTGCCATTTCCTTTATTGTCTTAAAGTCCCATTCAGTCTTAGGATTTGCTGCTGCTGCTGCTGTCCTTGGCAAGGTAGCGTTGCTCACATTTCCACATTGCAGTTATTCTTTTTCTACCCATTTTATACTGTACTCTTTCTGCCCAGCCTTTTTGCACTTCAATAACATCAGGTCATCATCAGGGATAGGGGAGATAAAGAGGAGCTTATATAAAAGCCCAAAGGAGGCTGGGAGACCTAAAGCCTGAGGCTATCCTGCTTTAGTTTTTAATTTTAATTTTTTTGTTTAAACAGAGACCACTTGAGCAATAAGCAAGATTTTTCTTCACTTTGAGAATGATGAAGAACATTCCCTGGTGGGTGGCTATAGGGAGGCATATCAACAGGGAGATGGGTTACAATGACCGGAGTGATCTCTGTCCCCAGGGTTTTGCAGAGATGCAGGTGGCCACACTGGAGGCTAGTCCTGGTGATCCCTTCAGGGCCAGCTTTTCTGTTCAAGGTACTGGGAACAAAGTGACTGAGGGTGAGTCACCTCTGCACAGGCCATGGTGTCCTGACATGCTGAGGGTGAAGGTGAGCAGCCAGGTGGCAGAGAGATGAGGATCCTCAGGGAACTCCTTGATAGAAGATGAAGCTCCTTTCCCTCTTTTCTTGGCCTTTGGGCACCTGTTTAAAGAATAGATAGAGAAGCTTTGAACAGAATAAGAATGGACAGCGTCATTCTCACTGAGCTCCTTTAGCTCCTCGTAGAAGAAGGTCGAAGCTCCTGTACAGGTGGCCTGTTTCCTGGAAATTGAGCTGATGTTTATAGTAGAAGGAAGACCAAGTAAAACACCAAAAGGAGTAACACCTTCATCCCAGGACATCGGCCCCTCCCATGTCCATCTCCTGACTCAGGACAGCAACTTTGAGTGCTATTCACATTTCTTGGAGAAAAATTTTCATTGTCAAGGTTAATTTAAAGCCCAATCAAGACATGTCCCACGAAAACTCAGGTTTAGATTGTGAGGTAGGTAATTGGTACTTCCAGAGAGAACACCTCTCAGTCTAAGTTGTTAGCGGCAACACCTACTTGTGCAAGTTTCAGACTTTCTCCTTTAGATTTAGGGTGTTCATCAATATATCCACTAATACAGTCCAGAAATCAATATTGAGAAGAGAGTGAGCAGGAGTTGGGGTTATACAGAGCATCTTTCTGGAGTGACCCCCCCCTTTTTCTCCTTCTGCTAGCTGGGATCTGTCTCTGTGGCCCTTTCCTATGGAAGATAATAATTTACAGAAACATAAGTTATTGGAAACCAATTTGTAATATTTTCCTTCCATCCAAGGAGGATCACACATGAGGAATTCCAGTTGATCCAGTCATTGAGGAAATTACAGAGATCTTAAGACTTGTCTACACACCCAGCTAATTCTTTTATTGTAGCTGAGATATTTTATCATTCTCTTATCAGTCTTTTCAGCCTTTAAAAAATGGAATATAGGTAATTATTTGACCAAGTTAAACTTTCTGGTGACTGTACTAATCATATGGGTTAATCAGTATGGTGAAACCAGTTGTCCACAGAGAGTTTTATGAGTCTCATTTCTTTTGACCTTTATTCTAACCACATAGTTATTGGACAACGTGTATCTAAAAGTGAAAAAGGTCCACTTGCTTTATGCCAAGTTCAATAATATCTGACCTTGCTCTTCAGCTGTAGAGTACATTGTTTGGATCATGAAATTGATGAGGCGAGGAGAAGAGATGCCGAAGGAAAATAACAGAAATGCAGAGAGAGCAGAGAAAAAGCCTCATAGTGCAGTTTGCTTACATTTAAATTAACCAATGCTAATTTATTTACTTATTATATTTATGGGATGCACCCATTGCTTATTAGCCCCTGGATACATTTTAAGAGGATCATAAAAAGAGACACTCCTTGTCATTATGGCTAATTAACATTCAAATTGACTAACTAACTAACATTTAAGCGCTTAGAATAAAATCAGTCATGGGCCAGTCAACATTTTCATCAAATGTCCTTAAATAGAATCCATTAGTTGATCCCCTCTCCTCTACTTTTCTACCTGCTGCCAAAATATCTGGCACCAGAGAATGCTGGAATTGATCAGGGGGAGCCATATCGTTGCCATTGCAACAATTAATATCAGATGTGCCTCTGGGCTCATACAAGGTGGTAAGCAAAGCTTGATGAAATGGACCTGGCTTCCTCCCAGAAGAGGTTTATGGTCCAGATGTAATTGATGCAGAAGGAATGAACACATAACATCCGGGGTTTATATGTCCTATTGTTCTAAATTTGTTTTGCTCACACAGCCACAGCAATTACGGAAGCTTATAAATTAGGTTGTGTGTCCAACAGTAAGTTTTCCTGATTGAATCTATATGCTGAAAGATCCTTGTGCTATTGTAAATCCATTCAGTTGAAACATGGGCAGAAGAGGGAGAAATGCTGATTGGACATCTCACATGGTATAATTTCTAGGCAGAGAGGAATTGAAAGGAAAGAAAATTCATTTTTTTCAGTCACCGACCTACCCAAGTAAATCTCTACTTACGTGCATGGAAGCCTCACATTTAAAATATGTCCATATTAATTTTTTTTATCCCTTCTCCCATTTATGTTCTTGAACTTTTTTCACTATTTTAGCTCTGAGTTGAGGTTATATTGAGGGATGTCCTGTTGTCTGAGACTAGTTGAGAGACCAACTCTTGAGTTATGACGGTCTTTTACTAATTATGTGTGGAGGTTTGGGTTTGTTTTACTAAGTGAGGACCAGAAGGACCAGGTGGATATTATTAGATAAGAGTTAATAATTTCATTTTAAACAGATTTTGATAATTAAAAAAAAAAGAAAAAAAGTGAATTTAAGGATTGAACCCTGAGCCATATGCCCAGCCTTGTTTTTGTTTTTTATTTTGAGACAAGTTCTTGCTAAGTTGTTTAGGGCCTTACAGTATTGCTGAGGGTGGCCTTGAACTTGTGATCTTCTTGCTTCAGCCTCCAAAGCTGATGGGATTACATGTGTGTACCACTACACCCAGCAAATTCACATTTTTGAAGAATCCTACAATTTGATCTATGAAGGGTTTTCCATTTGGGGTAATTTCCCCAAGTATCATCACCATGTGAATTAGAAGTTCAAGCCTAATTGTAGGTTTATGGCCTGTTGTCATTTTATTAAGACTAGTAGCTTTCTTTAGAATTTGGAGCATCTAAAGTTAATTTTTAGGCTGGTTGTTAAAATTACAGTAGACAGTAGTGAAGTAAATGAGTTCTGAAGTCAAAATTCTGAGATTCTCCACCTGGATGGTAAACTTGGGCACATCTGTTAATCTCTATGAGACTCAGATCTCTTAGCAGCAAATCTGTGAAGAAAACAGAAAATATCAATTAAATGACGTAATCAAGTGAAGCTCTAGCATATAAAAAATGCCAGTAAGTCTTAAGCTATTATAGCTAATTGTCAATAGCCTGAAAATACAATAATAACAACGAACAACTACAATGGCTTGACAATTTAGCTAAAATTTACTCTCAAAGAGGTTTAATAATTAATAATTAATATAAGGAAACATCTAAATTTGGTTTTCTTATACTAAAATAGCATTTGGTGGTAAGTATAACGGAAAATCTTGGCTTCCCTTTGTAAGACACAGCACCGCACTAGGAATGGGAGACACCACATGACACAAATCACCAGAGAGGTTCCACTTTATCACAAAAGGCTGTGGGCTTATATAGATCTAAGGAGAGGTGGCAGGGCTTAGGTAAGTGATGGGTCACCCGTTTATTGGCAAGTTCTTCCATATGTCAGTTCTGGAGCCCAAGAAGTTAATTCTAATTGGGGCTAAGGTTTCCTGCCCTCGGGATTTGAATATTGGCGCCTGTGGGAGAACTGGCTCTGGAGGGAACTTTTCACACCAGTGAAAAGAAGGGAAAGTAGGAAGAGAAGGTCGTTAGGTGCCATGTTGGGGTTTTTCTCTGGGGTGGGGCTGCCGTTTATATTTTTCCCAACATTCCTCCGTTTTTGTTTTCTTAGGAACTGGGGTTGGTCAGATCCGGCTGCTTCCTGCTGTGTGGGAGTGGCATGGGGCCTAGAAAAGGAAGTGGAGGAATGTTCCGGGGGTGGTTCTGGGGATATCATGGCAGCCAGAAATAAACCCCAGTGGCTATAGACAGCTACGTCCATAGGAGTGAAGTCTATGAAAGTTCCCTGAAGCCACAAGTCTTTGATGGCATCCAACCAGTCCTGGATGGAGGAGATAGTTGATATCAGCCACTGGTCCTGTAGCAGAGACTCTAGGAAATACTGGAAGCGTTGCCTTGACATGGCGTCACCAGGACCTGAAGAAGATCAGAGCTAACAAAAAGAGGATTAAGATAAAAATTAAAGCAAATGTCAGTTTTTGGCAGAAGTTCCATGTTGGGGGACTGACAGAGAAGAGGCCAAGGGCCATGAGGAGGCTTAAAAGGACATAAAGGCTCAAGAATCCAGGATGGCAGATTAAGAGGTTCTCTGGACTCCTTGTCTCCTACTGTTCATTGTCCATTGCATTCCATCGTGCTTGGTAGTGAGCTTCAGCACTGAGTGAGCTGTTCTCTTGAAGATGTTGGGGTTTCATTGGTCATCAGAGGCTGGTAGTGCCTAAGCAGAAGCTGGTTGAAAGTTTGGTTAGAGATCTTCCATAATTGGCCCTGTAGGAAGCGAAGCAGACAGGGCAGGAATAGACACATCAGGAAAAAGAGACATATGGGCCCTAAAAGAGGCAACAGCCATGATTGGAAGTTGGCTAAAAAGAAGGTGGCAAATAGGTTTTGGTTTGGTGGATTTTTCAAAGAGGTAGCCAAGTCGGTGAGCTTGACTACATTAGTTTCCACAAGGCCTGATTCATTGATGTAGTAAAAGCATTCTTCCCTCAAGAAGAGATAGGTTCCACCTTTTTCGGCTGTGAGTAAGTCTATAGCTCATCGGTTCTGAAGAGTAACTTGAGCCAAGGATATTACCTGCCTTTGTAAAGATGCTAGAGATTCTGCCGTAGAAGTGAGCGCTTGTTCAAGTTTAGAACTTAAGTCCTGTATAGCCCATAAGGAGTGTCCTAGAGCTCCACCAGAAATTCCTGCTCCCGCCGCAGATGCCACCAGTGAGAGACCCACCAGTATTGGAAGGAAAGCAGCCCGCTTATTCCGCACAGGGGGAGACAAGAGGGCCTGTACTTCAGCTGGGGTATAGAGAGTCAATTGTGGGACAAGTGTCACCAGTATACATGGGGTAGAGGTGTTGGTGGATAAGATAGTGGTGAGAGAAGCATTACACCAGAAGAATGAGCCAAGTGGTGCATAGAGGGTGAAGTTAAAGGTGATGTTAGAGTGGCAAAACTTTGACTGGCAGACACCCAAGCCCAGGAGGCAGCGCAGGGGAATCCCGGTATGGTTAGACTCCTTGGGGTCCCATAATGGAACGTCGGGTGAAAGGGTCCGGAGAGAACGGTGGGCAGATGGAGTGTTGAAATTTGAGGGGTCAGAAGCCAAGAAGTTCAAGGGAACCACTGCAAGCAAAGGTCAAGTCAGAGAGGCGCATAATTAGCAATCAGTTGCTGTAATGGCGGGGAGGGTTAGATTTAAGAAGGTTACAGTTTCGGTAAGTAGTTGTAGCCATGAATACTGTGGTGAACTCCCGGTATTAGGCTCATATGGATCCTATATGGAGCCTAACAACTGTTGTTTGGAATGCTTTATGTCAGTAGAGATTATAGCTACTGAGGGCTGGGAGGATTGAAGCTCTCAGGAGATGGAGATGGAGCCACAGGGGGTGGGAGAAGATATGTCACAGGAGGAGGAAGCATTCACCCTAGAGGTCCAGCCCGAATGGTTGGGGTCAGTGATAGCCAATTGATAGCCCCCTGAGATCAATCTGAAATTTCCAATGCAGGAATCCCCAATGCATGCAATGACTCATGATGAGAAAGGAGTGCGTGAAGGACAAAAGGGGTCCCTGCATATAACAAGATAAGGGGGGGGTTTCAAGGGAAAATATGTTTATCTCCTACCCCGACAATAGGAGTTTTGAGGGTGTGGTAGTACCCCAATACTCCCTCAAGACTGAAAATGTGGCACCAGTGTCTAAGAGGAAGGTAATGAAGTGTCTATCCACTAGAAATGTGACCCTAGGCTCTTGCTTCTTGATGGTAATAGTCGGGAGGGAAGGCCCAGGGCTCTGTCAATCCTCCTCTGCCAAGCCCAGGAGAGGCTGGGGTTGTGGGGCGGCTGACCAACCTCCCCTCGGGTTGTTGGGCAGTCTACCCCCCAGTGTCCCCTTTGTTGGCATTTTGGGCAGGGGGTGGGTGGAGGGTATCCTCGGCGAGGGACAATCCCTGGCCCAGTGTCCCTTCTTACCACTTTTGAAGCAAGCCCCAGGGGGCATCTTATTGGGAAGGCATAGTGATGACCTTCTCTGAATGACCTGGGCCAGCATTTGGAATTTGGCGTTTTCAGTCCTCTGCCTATGACGTTCACTTTCATCCTCTCTATTATGGAAAACCTTGAAAGCAACCACAAGGATTTCAGTCTGAGGAGTAGCAGGGCCCTGTTCAAGCTTCTTAAGCTTGGCTTTAATGTCAGGGTAGCTTTGGGCCAGGAAATATGTCATTAAGACATGATGGCCATCAGGGGTTTCTGGGCTGAGGTTTGTATACTGCTGGAGGGCCTTGGTTAGTCTATCCAGGAATTCTGAAGGTGTTTCTTCCTTCTTTTGAATGACCTCCTGCACCTTTCTAAAATTAACAGCTTTGTGGGTGGCCTTTTGTAGGCCCGCCAAGAGGCAGGATGCAAAAAGATCACGAGACTGTAAGCCTCCAGGGGTATTGTAATCCCATAGAGGATCCTGCTCTGGGACAGCATGAGGGCCCATGGGGTGGTTGGGATTGGTCCTATGATTTTCATCAGCATGGGCTTGGGCTAGTTCCCAGTCTTGTTGCCTTTCCTCAGGGAGAAGTGTATTGGCCAGGAGCATGGAGATGTCATGATGGGTGAGGCTGTTTGCCTGCAGGACCCATTGGAACTTCTGAAAGTAAGTGGGGAGATCAGTGGTAAATGAGCCTAACTTCCTCTCTAACTGAGTAATGTTCGACATGGAGAAGGGCACATATACTCTAATAACACCCTCAGGACCAGCTACCTCAAGAAGAGGAGCGATCATCATGGGAGTAGGAGGGGGTCCCTTAGACCTGGTGACAGGAGAACTGAAAGAGGCAGTCGGCGGTGGACAGGAAGGAGAGGGAGGGGAAGGGAATGTCTCAGCGGAGGAAGAGGTGGAATGGGAGGAAGAGGGTGGGGGGGGGAATGAAACAGAAGGCTGAGGATCGGTGGAACCAGGCAGAGGAAACGGAGGGTATAGCGGGAGAGGAGGGGTGGATGGGGCTGGGGATAAGGTGGGGGTTCATCTGCTGGATCAAATGAGGAAGAATCTGCGGAGTCAGGGGTAGAAGTAGGGGAAGGGAGGGGTTTGCAAGCAAGGAGGACCTGAGAGGGAGAGCAGGAAGTTCAGGGTGTTGGGCAAAAAGGCTAAAACCTTCAACGTATGGGACCTCCCTCCATTTTTTAGGCGCTGGCAGTAGTTAAAATGATCGTGAAGAAGGTTTGGATCTAACGAGCCTTCTGGAGGCCAATGATTCTCATTATCTAATGGATATGTGGGCCAATCTTGGGTACAGAATCTGATAAGAATTTTGGGCTTGAGATCCTGGGAAAGAGAGAGAGTAGCCAAATTCTTAAGGAGACACTTGAGTGGTGAGATTTCTGGTGTAGACGAGGAGGCACCCATAGTTAAAGAGTGGAGGAAAGGACAGCAAAGGGAGAAAGAGAATTAACCCGGGCCGTAGGAGCTTCCTGGAAGTGTAGAGCAGATGGAGGATCACGTGGGCATAGCCAAAGTGACCAGTCCACTGCGAGTAGGCACAGAGGGCACAGCTCGGTCGTCAACGACAAAGTGCGGTCTGTGTGACCCTGTAGGGTCGGGGGCCACGGGCAACCTGACGTCAGGAAAGTTTTTTCGACCAGAAGAGAGAGTCAGGAATGAAAGGAACAGAGCTCCAGCAGAACACAGCTCTGGACTGGAAGTTCAGCTCCAAGCTGAATGTAGCTCCAGAGGGATGCAGTTCCATCAGGACACAGCTCCTGCAGAGGAGGAAGACACCAGGGAGCCTCTCATGTAAACCCAGAAACCTCACACCCCAAAGGGAAGCAGATCGCCAGAGGGTCCACTGAGACCAGTGAAGGTCTTAGCGGAGTGGGTTCCCTCCTCCCTACCAGGCATCAGGAGCATGCTGGACGATCATGGTCACTGTTCCTGCTGTCAGCCCGAAGGGAGTTGGCGAGCCGGGGAGGGGGAACTTACCTAAACCCAATCAGTGGTGAGTACAGGGAGCCGGCGCCCAAAAAGATAGGGCGAAATGTGTCGCTGGTGGCAGTGGTGGTGGAGACTGGGCTCGGTTTGTCGAGAGTGCCGTCTCCTGGGTTTCGGCACCCTTGTAAGACACCGCACCGCACTACACGACACAAATCACCGGAGAGGTTCCGCTTTATTACAAAAGGCTGTGGGCTTATACAGATCTAAGGAGAGGTCGCAGGGCTGAGGTAAATAATGGGTCACCCGTTTATTGGCAAGTTCTTCCATATGTCAGTTCCGGAGCCCAAGAAGTTAATTCTAATTGGGGCTAAGGTTTCCCGCCCTCGGGATTTGAATATTGGCGCCAGCAGGAGAACTGGCTCCGGCGGAAACTTTTCACGCCAGTGACAAGAAGGGAAAGTAGGAAGAGAAGGTCGTTAGGCATCATGTTGGGGTTTTTCTCTGGGGTGTGGCTGCCGTTTATACTTTTCCCAACACCCTTCAAGCCCTTTCCTTCTCACCTTTGCTCATGTTTTATTGGGCTCCTCAATTCTAAGCCTTGCATGCATTTAGATAATGATTACCGTATCCCTCTCTGAGATGGTAGAGAGATGGGTGTGTTGGGAGGATCCTATATCATCCTCTTGGGCTGAGCTTGGAGGAAGTTCTACCTACTGGCCAGACTATTCATCCCTAGAGTGGAATGATTTGAGGAAAAGGGAAAGACTCAAGCAAGTTATATACCAAAGAAGAAATTCAAAATAATTAGCTAGAATAGGTTGATACAGAGAACCATAAAATTAAGGAAAATACAAACATAAAAATGGGGTGTGTCCATTAGATGTGTGGGGTGGGGGGAAGTTTTTTTTTCTTGGGAATGATGATCTTATCCAGGATAAGCGTTATGTAAAGAAGAGTTTAAGGTCAAGAATTCTATTTCCATCCATTCAACACATTCAATGAGTTCCCACTAAGTGACAATCACTGTGCTCAATATTCATGTACAGAGTTACAAAGACCAGAGCATGACCTTGACGGCAATGGCAGTTACACTAAGTTAATGGGAATAATTATATTAGTAATAATTAATATTAGTTGACAACCATGATCTCAAAATTATTATTTTACAAATAAGCAGAGCAACAGCTTTTAATAAAGCCTAGGTACCCAAAGTTAATTAGTTTAATGGATCAGCTAAGGAAACATTAGAAAAAAAATGTATGAATAGTTTCTCAGAGAATGCCTAAGGACCTCTTTGTCATTCTGGAAAATAGCTACGGGGGAATAAAGAATAAATAATCATGAAGTCAGGACTTCTAATATTTTTCAAGACTCCATAACTCATTAAAATAAAACAAACCAACACTGCCAAATCTTGCAAAAGTATCCTATCATACAGATGATAGGAAGAAGGTTTTTTTTTAATTGTTTGTTTTGCATCAAATGACTCCAAATTTCTCAGGAATTTTCCATTGAAACCATCTTTAAAACAGCCTTTCCCCTAATTACTATTGCCATAGAGGTTGATTCTTCCCTGATTATTGTTCTTATAATTTTATAAATTATTTCAATTTGAAGACACTGTAGGTAGTAAGGTATGCACTAGAGAGGCTAAATGAAAACCTCTGATAATAAATACTACTGTCAAGTATTGGACAGAATGTTAAGTATTGTAATGCTTAGACCCAAAGTCTCCTCCCTAAAACCTAGTATTTATAGAAATAATTTTGGATTTTTGAGGAGTGCTAACCCAGTGATCTGCTACTTTCTCTCCCCAATAAAGGAAGGAGTGAGGGCTGTAAATCAGAGTGAGGAGGCATTGCTCCTGCTTCAGGGCTTCACTGTGTTATCATTATGAGACATTTATTGAGCACCACAATTTTAAGAGTGAGATGCAGCCTCTTCTTCACACTCCAATGCTCCAATGGAATGGCCTCATCCTGTCCTCCCTGTTCCCTTTCTCCCAATATTCATGTCACTCCTTAGCTCAGATGGATCCTGCTACTGTTTCTGTTACAAGCTCAGCTGATTAATGTTGGTTTGTGACTAATTTGACTGCTGGTTTTACAAGAGCATTAACAACATCAACTAACACTGAATGCTTTGGGGGTGAAGGTTAAGGGTCTGATGATAAAAAGCTGAAAAAAGTGAAAATTCTACTTTCAAGAACTTCCAGCTCTTCTTTTGTTGCTCTTACCCTTTTGTTTCTACCATGGATTCAGCAGGAGTTCACAACAATGTAGTCAAGTCATTATCTTCCAGTGTTCCCTATCAACATGCTCTAAGAAGGTTGGAATAGTTTTTGCTCTCTAATTTGCTTTGTACTTCTCCCTTATTTTTTTATACCATTCACTTTATCAGAAATGATTTCACCATTCTTTAACCCCTCTACCATAAACTAAGCTTACCTGTTTAGCAAGAAAAAAATACAGGACATAAAGTTAAATATGAATTTAATATTAAACAATAGATACATTTTTAGTATACAAGTATGTCTCATGCAATATGTAATGGGATATATTTATTCTAAAACATCATTTATTATATACCTAAAATTCAAATTTACCCTGCAGTCTATATTTATCTGGGAATTCCATTTTTACTCCACTCCCTTCTGCATACCAAACCCTATCTACTATTTAAGATCATGCTTGGATGTGGCAAACCCACACCACAATTTCAAGAATGTCTGCAGTGGTCAGGCTGGGAGTGTGGGTGGGCCAGAGTCCTGGTGAGAAAGTCATGCTGGGCAGTGTCTACAATGTTTACAAGGTAGCAGGATCTGTCTCATCTCCAGCTTGAAGTGGGGATGTGCCAATTTGAGACTCATATTCCCAGATGTTACTAGTTTTCAAGTGTAGTTGGAAATTCTAAAAAATAAAATATGTGTTATCTGGTAATAGTTAAGTGCTGAATCTAGTTAAATATTTAAAAAAAATATTTTTGATCACAAATTTGAAAACTCTGGTCAGAATAATTACATACCCACCCCACAAGGCACACATGTGACTTTCTCATGTAGCCCTTGATAGAGATGGCATTGCTTTCTGCTGAACTTCATGAATGGTTCCTTTCATAAGGCATTGTACCCTGTGTCAGATCTTAAGTTTTTCCAAGAAGACAATAAACTCCAAGATAGTAGGGACAAAGTTCTTTTTTAAAAATTTTTTAGGGCTTAGTATTCAATGCATCATCAGTTGGAAGAATGAATGAGTAAATAAATACACAAGTAATAAATAAACTTAAGTTTGTCAGAGTTCAACCAAGATGGTCAACAGGTTCAACAATAGGAGTAAGGAAAGAATAAGCCTGAGGAAAGCACTCCTATCTGTAGCTTTTCAAACCATGACTAGGCAGCAAGAACCTCTTCACATCATGACGGCTTCTTGGGGTTCTTCATCATATGCATCCTCATGAAATGAGTGTGTTCCTCCTCTCTCCAACAGCTGCATTTCCTCAGGCCTCATTCACTCAGGCAGCTACAGGGGAAAGGTGGGATAAACAAAAAAGCATGACCAGTTTAACTAGGGAAGATACATATGCTGTATCAGTGCTCACAGCCCAATAGGTCCTGACAGGGCCCCAGTAGGTGTTCTAGTTGGCTTTATCTCTGGATTTTCAGCAGTAAATCTTGCTCTGGATAGAAATTAATTTTGAGTTCCTCAATATTAATAACAGCATTAAGGACTGGTATAATAAAAGTTTATTAACTTATTTTCCACCATAATTTGTCTGTGATTTCTGTGCAGCCATATTATATTTTTATGAAATGGAAACACTGTGTTCACAGGCTGCATAATAATGATAGTAAAAAGCAAATGATACTCTGAAAATCATTCATTGGGATCTGAGACTTTTGGGGTTTGGAAAACTTACTGCTATTTTCATGGGAGATGCATAGAATACTTTAAAAAAAATAACAAGGGAAACTTTCCAAATGGAGAAATGCTAAAAAGCACATAATATATCCATGATTTCCTCATATATTATATGACTATGCTCAAAAACAGATATCTGTGAAGTCTTCTAGATCATTGAAGAGGAAAAGCTGAGATTATGATTTTAAAAAATCTGTTATCAAGGGCTATATTGACATGTGTGATTGTCTAACTCCTACCAGAGGATAGAGAGTAATAATGATGATGCGGGAAGCACAATAATGAATGAGTTAACCACTTATTTTATTTAAGGCATGGTGCTAAGCATTTTATGAATATAATTTATTCCTCATAAGCTCATTTCTATGAGGTTGGTTTTCTTGTTACGTAAAGAAATGTGACCAATATTTTTTTTTTCCCTAAGACGCAACTAGAGAACAACTTCATTGATGCTGTAATCCAAGATGGAGCACTCGCTCAATGTGCATTTAAAACAGCATCTGCTGTAATAGTGTAGGATGCTTACAGTAGGAATGGGAGCTAGGAGAGCAGTGATCCAACTTCAAAACTTTCTCATAAATGAAAGTTAAAGCAAAGGGGCATAGTTGGAGTAAATTGTCTTTTATCAGGCTATGTGGTGCCAAGAGTTAAGTGGAACAGACATCAGAGCCAGAATCAGGTGTGAAAAACGAGCTCAGGAAATACTAAGATCAAACACAGGGACAGGAATGGACACTGGGGTCGGAGTCATAAATTACAGTGAGGGTCAGGGCAGATGGAGTTAAGATCTCACCTTTAGAGTCAGAGATACAGTTGATGAACAAGGCCAGCAACCATCCATCTGATGATAAGGAGTCAAGAAAGAAAATCTGCTCAGATCCCCAGATGAAGGCTTGCTGGCAAAGAAGAATTTTGTAAAGAGCTATTCAATGGTATTAACTGCGTATGCAACTGTCAGTTTGAAGTAGCCCTGAGAGTACTGGCCGTTCATATAGCAAATTCAGATGTCTAGTTATGGTTGTCATTGTTAAATAATTTCTTTTAGTAGTGGAGTCCAGATCTGACATTATTTTTCATATTGGCCTAGTCTTTCACCTTTGGAACTAAAATCTTTAGCATCCCATGCTAGAGAAAGAAAAACAAATCTCCAGAATCTCTCTTCAATTCCTGCTCAAACAAGGTTTATGGCCTTTGTAGCAGAGGAGAGCAGACATAGTGAATTGCTTCTAATGGCTAATTCATTTAAGTAAGTGATTTTTGAGAA